GGCCAAAGACAGAGCGTATTAACTGGCTAATTTCCCCCAACCTGTGAGCATGGATGCTGATGAGACTGTACTTTAGTTCTATTGAGGGAAGCCCCAGTCTGAGTTCCCAAGGTAACAGTTGGTTTTAATGGGGGCTGACTGACTCATTTGAAGGGAATCCTGGCACCTGAACAGGGCTGCCCACTCACCCCACCCCCAGCTTTATCTGCACAAGCAAACAAGATGCTGACATGTCCCCATATAGGGCTTCGCACTGTCGGGGGTGGCACTGGAAAATCCCAACCTGTGCTTGCATACCAGCAACACAGCAACAGCAGCAGCAGCATCCGTAGACACACAGGGCTGTGAGGCTTCCATGAAGACAGTAAATGGAAAGATGACAATAGAACAGTATGACTACAAATACAAGCAGGCATGTGCTGGGTTTTGATTAACATGTGAAGGGAAGGGGGAGCAATATGGGGGTGGGAAAAGAAAATTAAGCTTATTAAACAGTCAAAGGCACGGAATTAAAATTGTTTTTTTTAAGGTGTCAGCAGTGACACAGAGTAAATGAGTATTTAAAACCTTGAAGGCTTGAAGTTGGCAATGGAGGAGGAGGAGGGAGGAGGGAGGAAGAGGAGCTGGAGTAGGTGGACAAGAGAAGGAACTCTTTGCCCCCACAATTAATCTAATTATTAAGAAATTAAAAGTGATCAACAGGCGTGTAATTGACCATCTAATTGGCTTCAAGGTCACATGGTTCTTTCTGACATTGAAAGGTGAACAAACATACAGTACAAAGGCATCGTTAAAGTGAAATATCCTTGAAAAGTTCCTTACATTATAAATGAATACAGAGCTGCAAATGTTTACAAAAATACCTTTTTAAAAAATCTGATATGTTGTATAGGATCATTTACTATCATACTATAATTTTTAGTGACAGTAAATTCTAGCCATTTACCACAGCCAGTGTTTAACAGTAGCCATTTGATTTGTTTCTGCTCACTGTTCTGTCTGTTGATAACTCCACGGTTCATTCAGTGTCTTTAGTCATTAACAACTGAGAGATGGTACAAAAGGGATTTAAGAGGCAGCATTACTGTTTTGAATCACTGCGTGCTTAATTCTTCTCTTCTATTATAATTGAGGCAGGAGCAAGGCAGAGGTTATGGTAACTGCTGGAAACCTGTCCCACTTCACAGAAAGTTAATGAACCTTACAAGTCCTGTGGGAGATGGAGTATGCTGTTAATTTGACAAACGTGGGAAATAAATGCTTTTATGCTTTTATTGATGATGACCAATAGCGGCCTTTGCTGGAATGAAAGGTTTTAGTCTTTTGCGTGCTTTGCTACAAAGCAAAACAATAATGTGGAATGCATTTGTCAGAAGAAACTAAGTACATAATTGTTTGAATAGCAATTTCAGACCAAAAAGCATCTTCATTATTAATTCTGACTTTTGGGGGAACGTATATTGTGTGAAATGTACAGTAACCTAATTCATGTTACGAAACATCGTTGCTCATTTTGAATGCATTTGCAATAATTAGGGGCTTTAAAAAGGCAGTGCTTTGAAATCTACATATTCCCACATTCCATTTGTGCACTGTTGGTCTGGATTTCATTTTAACAGGGCATCAAAGGTTTAATATATTGGCAGTGTCAGCAGTAAACAGAGAAATGGAAAACCATTCCGAAAGGACGCTCCAAAAACCGTCCGCAACACAGGTTGTAACTACACAGCCATACAATGTGTAGTGTGTGAGATTTAGAGATTAAGTGCATAATCTCTTCGCTATTCAAAGAGCATGATGGAGGCAGAAATCTCTCTTGACAAAGACAGAATTTATCTCAGGCTTAAATAAGGATTAAACATTTTTTTAACTCCATCTCTACATCCAGGTCTTTCTAATGGCAAACACTGGCAATGTGGTGAAATACAATCACATTTAGAGGAAAATGCAAGACATGACCGTCTAAAACAGTGGTGTCAAACTCATTTTCACCAGGGGCCAAATCAGCAACACAGTTCGCCTTGAAGGGCCAGCTGTAAATGGAAGACGATATAGATCAGTGATCCCTAACCCCTGGTCCATGGACCAGTCCATAGGTCATTTGGTACCGGGCCGCAGTGGGACAAAGTGAAAAAAAAAAAAGATGTTTTATTTTAAAAATGTAATGACCCTTCAGTGCTCAGCACCTTGATACCAGTCTGCAGTAACAGATGGTACTGGCTGACCAGTCCTTGGAACAAAAAGGTTGGGATCCGCTGGTATAGATGTAACTACTCCATAACAGACTAATACATGTTTCTGCAATTGATTATTATTTGATTGATTGTAAAAAACCTTTAATTTTTTAGGTTAAGAAACTTTGCTGCATGGTCTTTACTAAATACTTTTTAAGCTCCTGCGGGCCACACAAAATGGCTTGGTGGGTCGCATTTGGCCCCCGGGCATTGAGTTTGACAGGTATGGTCTAAAAAAAGTTTAAGTTATTGATGCAACTCACTACAACACAATATTCTATTACAAAACTAATACTGGGGGTCACTGACTTACAGCGGATTTCTGTTCCTATGGTGCAACGTATCTCGCTAAGTCAGAACTTGCATACTGTACACAAGCACCTATGTACCACACTTTCCTAAAAAGTTCCTAAAAAAACAACAGAAATGAAAGAAAGCGAATCCAATCGCTTCGTATATTGCTGTGTGATGGCGTATTCATCCACTCCACTCACCAACTAGTCACCATGTGAACTAGTTGGTGTGTTTTAACACCAACAGTAAGTTGATAAATTTATGGGAGATGGCGACGTAACCACGAAATGCTACCTGTAGTGGTACTTTTTTCCATAAATGTATTTTTCCTAAAAGTACTTCTAGTTTTGCTCACACAGTTGTAATAGCGGGGTGTGTGTGTGTGTGGGTGGGGGTAGGGGGGTCGGGGTGTATTCTGGGCAAAATGTCCAATAGTGAATGATTAATGGAACAACACTTCGGAATAATTGAAGTTGAAGTAACTAAAATGGCTGAGAAATAATTGTGCAAAAATGTCCATCCAGCATGAATGTACAATACAGTGAGACTGTTTCAAACTTATATGCTGCCTAACCTGACTTCACCTTATAGATCCATCCTAGAACATCCAACTGACACTGGCCCCAACCTTGTTCTCTTTGATACACTCTCTCTATCACTCTTACTTTCTCCTCTACCATCACTCATTGCTTTCTCTCCCTCTTCCTCGCAGTGATACCATGGGCACAGTTCCTTGTGCCTGTGTGCACAATGTTAGCCAAAGGAACACACAAGAATCTGAGCTCCACAATCCCTCTTAACCTTTAACCCTGGCCAATTGTTACCTGTGAGCAGTGCTGGGGCAAACATGTTGTACAAGTAACTGTGCAGCCCTGCAAGCTGTTTATGTTCTGCAAGTATGGAGGGCAAGGGGAGGAGGAGAGGGAGGGAAGAGAGGGAGCTATTTAATCCCCCCCAAAGGAACTCCCCTCTCAACCCGTATCGTGAACTCGCAGGCAAATCGTGTTGCTGGAAGGCATACCACACACACACACTTGCTGTCTTTTTAATTTCATCAGCTGGAGAGAAATCTATACAGTGCTTTGGAATCCGACGAGCCGCTGAGAGAAATGAACTATACGGCACCCCTGAATGTAAACAGGTTTCACACCAACTGTAGCATAAAAATACCACATTGTAAGAAACCTCTTGGCTATGATAATGGTCAATAGCACAGATCAGAGGTCTTAGCAGATTTCATGGTTGTTAGTCCAACAGCATATCAATTAGAGCATGTCGAACAACGATTTAGAGGGAAATTATTCAAGCCTTGCATGTCTCACATGGACAGAATTTGATTGAACGCACACCTTTCAACCAGAAAAAACATCAGACTATTAGAAAAAGAAAAGTTAGAACAGGTTCTGGCAGTGATGTGGACACTGTGTTTGTCAGGTTCTTGCTATATTTAAAAAATATATTTTAGTAAAACCCAGATTTACTTACTTAATATTGATGGATAATTGTAAGATTTTCATTACATTTTTGGTTAAAAAAAGACAGATTTCAACTAACAATGTACAGTATATACAGTATATACAGTATATACAGTATATATATATATATATATATATATATCATACATCTTACAGTTAGTTTACAACTTCACAAACAATCATAATCAGTATGTCAGAGAGACAGGCCAACAAATAAGGGCTATTTTAGGGGAGCATAATTGGTACTGAGTTGTTTTTATCAGCATGCCTCACTCCTCTTTTTCTGTACCCTCTCAGGAGACCCCCACAAGGAAGCACTTTCAGCGACCCCCCACTAACCCTGACATTTGTTCATTTAACCGCCCCTTTTTTCCCTCCCTCTTTACTGTTCTTCCTTTTTTTTTCAAATCTTTTGCATGTCTGTCATGATTGACCAGGTAGACAGGTAGGCTGACCCCAGTGAAACCCCCCACCTGTACCCTGGAACACAAATTAGCACGTGGGGCTGCCTGACATTCTGCTTTTGTGGAGTGGAGTGGTGGGGAAGAGAGGGAGGGGCACAGTGAGGGGGGTATGACAAAGACGACAGCTTGTGTGAGGGAACATTGTCTGTGGTTGCGACGAGAATTCTTTTCAGGAAAAAACAGGATTTTATACACAATGGTCGTGGGTGTGAAGAAAGGGGGCACATATTAAAAGAAGTGCCTTCAAGTGTGCATTGCTACAGGTTTTTAGCTGCATGCAGATGTAGACAATCCAAAAAAAATGTCCCTTGTTTCTACTCTGCTAGGCCACAGTGTGGCATCCTGGATCAAGGAGGGCGGACTGATAGGAATAAATCCTACAGTAGAAATGGATAAGACTACCTCCCTGTGTAAAAATAAAGTTGCTGCAGATATAAGATATGGCCAAGACTGGCAATTAATTCAACAGAGAAAATGTAAAACAAAAAAAGAAAAAAAAAGAAAAAATGATTTATGGATGATTATTCTCTCACTGTCTGAGCAACATTCAGCTCACGTTCCTCCTGCAGTTCAATCTTCTCAATCATCTCACCACGGCAACCAGAGCGGGGAGGTCAGTTGTTATAGAGATGGCAAGAGGCTTGCTAGGTTATCAGCTACAAAATGGTGCGCATCGCCAACTGTATTTGTGTGTGTGTGTATGTGTGTGTGTGTGATGTGTGTGAACGGGGGATGGAGCTGACAATTGAGCGGAGGATTCTTATGTAATTCTCCCTTTAGGTGGCAGAGAACAGTAGGAGCAGCAGCCCACACTGAAGAAGAACCTGTTAGATAAGATGAGATAAGATAAAATAACATAAGATAAGATAAGATAAAATACTGAACTAGTGGCGTTTCTCTGCACAACCATATCTAATATTCAGACAATGAAACCAAATAACAAATGAGCAAAAGTCCTTAGCTAAAAACCCATTGTGCTGGTGCCTGGTCCTGCAGCTAGAAACAAAAAAATTAGATTATAACTCATATAGCCTCACCAAAAAATGGACAGTAAATAATAGTAACAGTGCTGGAACCTTTGCATGGAAAACTCATAGCTACAGTGTGTAGATAAGAAAGCAGCAGCCACTGCCTGCTGGCACCAAGTTCCCTTCAATTTGAAAAAAGTGAAAAACCAAATTGAGCTATATCAAGACGTGTTGTTCAGTTTTCATATTTCAAAATGTTATTTCATCAATCCGTGTTGGTTCTCAGTCATCCTATCTCCCATCTTATTCAAAACTATTTACATCCACGGATCTGGACAAAGTAGGTTTTCTTCAAGTTTCACCTCTCATCCAAGAAACTTACAAGAAAAATACATCATAAAGGTTGAAAAACCTGAGCAAATAAACACAACTCAAGTCTTGCCAGAGGAACCACATACTTAATGGAGCCTCCTGTGGCAGCCTGTGTGGGTTGCGAATACTCATACTAAATTTCCCCATTGTGGGGTGAATAAGGGACTTCAATATAATTTTTTTTTTCATCAAATGGCCGTTCAGTATTGTCTATGTCTGTCAGCGCACGGGAAGGCGAGGAACGTAATTTCGATACCTCTGTATGTTCTGTACATGTGAAGGTATTGACAATAAAGCTGACCTTGACCTTGACCTTGACCGTAAGTGTATAAATGTATAATATTCCTCTTAGATTTTTCAAAGGTATCACACTGGTATAAGATATGTTCAAACTCTACATTCCAGAGATCTGATGACATCACTGTTTGTTTATGTTTAAACAAGATCTGACAAAGCCATCACTGTACAACCACAGTTGTTGAAAGTCCAGACAGGAAGTTGGCTTGATGCCTAACAAAGCAAAAATGTCAGCTCTATACGCAGCAACAAACACAATCTGAGAAACAATTGCCCCTGATAGCTGTGGAGAGGCTGTGAGGGGAATCTGAAGAGGTTTGGTGAGTGAACAACTTCCAAAAACTCCAAGAACTCCACTCAGTTCCACCTCTGACATTTGTCTAGCTGGCGCTAACAGCAGGATGAGCACTGCTCGAAATGTTAAGCACCTCCAGCTGGGCCTTCATGCTTAGGACGATTGTTGACTTCTACCAAGGGAGGTTTCAGTGGTGGTAATAATAACAATAAACTGTACCGTATGTTCAATGTGTAGTATGAAATGTTCTTTCACGTGGTCCAGATGGAAGACAGTTTTAGGTAGAAGAAAAATGATTTGGTGTAAACATTGTACAGTAGTCTGCAAGATTTACATTATTATTTATGCACATTTGTCTTTTTCCATTTTAAACTGTGAAGGAAAACAAATTGCTGTTGCATCTGTGCTGCAAATTACAACAGTTATCACAAAGAAATAGTAAAACTGCACAACAAATCTGTTCTAATTGTTCATGTTACTATTATACACACACAAAAAAGTTTGAGCAAAAGATGACAACAGGTGTACAAAATGGAGATTACATTGGATAAAATTGCTTCATATTATATGACTTTGAGCCGAGAGGGGCTTCTGTGTAAAAGTTTCTGAAAGCACAAACAGGCAAACTGTAACCTGGGTGAAGAGCACGTTGAGCAACTTGGAGGGAAGAAAATACCACATTAAAAAAGGAAAATTCGATTCCTTTGTGCCCACCCCCTTGTCATAAGATATGGATGTCCCGTAAGGTTATTTGTGTTTGCTGGGAAATAAAGTGCTCAACTGGATTAAACACATACTGCATATGTTTGGAAATCTGTTTCCTTGGGCGTATGAGTGGAGTGAGCGTGCGTGAGGCAGCAGCTTGCATCTCCTCCAAGAGAGAGGGCAGACACTCTCATCATTAGCTGGGGTACAATGTGCTCCTCTATCTGCTTTAATCTGCACAGCCAGGCTCCACTCTGACGCCAGACAAATGTTCTCAGCACGAGGCACAAAGTAGCGGGGAGAGGGGAAAAGAGAGTGAGCAGGAGAGAGGCAGAAGAATGGAAATATTCAGCAGTGTACACAATAAGAGTTTAATTATGAATAATACCAATGGCTCTTTGTTCTCACTAAGAAGCTAAGTATGGTTCGTCTGGCCTCTGGGAAATTGTTTTTTGGCTTCCATATGGGGGCAGCTGTCTGTCAAAAATGAACGCTTAAAGTCGTAACATGCCACAGGAGAGATAATTACAGGCTAAAGAACAATGCAATTACGTATGTATATTTGCAGTATTGAGTGAGTATATTTGCCTGAAGAAACTCCACTGCTGTCACACAGGTTGAAAAAAATGTCATTCCAACTTGACACTAACTTTAGTCTGTCAGAAACACTGTTTGTGTGACAAGACAAAGAGAATATTTTTGCTTGTGTGATGAGTTAAAACTCTTCCAACTCAACAAAATTAGAATACCAGCAAGTATCTCCTTCACCACCACAAACTGATCAACATGTTCCTTATTTAAATCAAGTAAGCTGGAATGAAAGCCACATCATGACAGTGGCTATGACCCAGAATTTCTTGTTGAAATGGTCGCTCAATATTTATACTTCACAGCCCTAGGGCATTTTATACCCCAGTTTTACTGTATAAATGTGTGTATTCATCAACCAATAAAAAACCAATTTGACGTACATTCGAAAAAAAATTGCTACTTCACAGAATAAAGACCTGTGTTTACACTACATCACGAGGTGGACTGGACGGTTCGGCAGGCCGGATTCACGAGGCCCACTGCCTGCCATCATCAATTTTTGGAAGCAGTAATATGTTTACTACAAAATTCCAAATGAACTGAGTTTTAGTGTGAAATAAAATCCTCTCTTTATTAAGCGTTTAATCCTTTTTTTGTTTTTCTACTGCAGCCTAATGGCTAATCTTCAGTATATGTATGAATGTATGAATATGAATATGCATAAACTGGAGGCAATGGTCATTGAAATAAATATATAAATTGGAACTAATTATAACAAACAAAAACATTAAGTTCATGTGAGATTATAACAAAGCAATAAAAATAACAAAAACACCTTTAAAGAAAAAAGCTAAAAGCTGAATGAAACAATGAGCTCCACACCTAATAGTTTTCAGCTAAAGGACAACTAGAGGTGTGGAGCAGACGATCTCTGCAGACCACAGAATTCACAAACACAAAGCCAGCTGGTCAGATACACTGACAATACTTCTCTGTTTGTTTCTGCCTGAGCAGCAGCAGAACACAGGCTTTGTCTTCCTGTGGGAGCTGCTACAGCAGAGATGGATGTTGAAGCATGCACGTCCCTCTTGCACCATCATTATAACCCAGTCTTCCAACTGGACCCTCATTTAGCCAAAGACTGTAAAGTAACAAATATGTGATGGATTTGGATCCAGAGGCCTCTGTGAAGAGAATGTGGAAATGATAATGTGAACTGACTGAGGAGGATGCGCAGTGACTGCAGCGGTTAGTCAGTTACTTTGAGACATTACTGTGTTCTTTTGTTCAAAAATTGGGTATGAAAAAATATCCATACATGCAGTGTTTTTCAACCTTGGGGGTTAAATTTGAATCCAGGGGTCGCCTGGGAGTCAAATTGGGTCGCCTGAAATGTCTAGTAATTCATACAAAACAAGTACACGACAAGCTGAAACTAAACCATGGTATTACTTTCCATCTTTCAGATCTTCACTGTGGCCCGTTTATGATGTTGCACTAACTAGTTTTTTCATAATTTATTGTATTACCGATTGTTCAGTTTTAATTTTCAAAAGACAAACTCATCTTACTGTACATGTGATCAGGGAAAATACAATTTTGTGCACTAATCTGTCTACTCTGTATTTGTAACACAATATAACAAACATGATCATCACTAATTCTAGAACAAAAAAAAGTGTCTGAGGTTGCCAGATGTCATGTGCTGTCACACAGGAACCACGTATTTAATGGCACCTCCAGTGGCAGCCTGTGAGTGTTGCAAAAGACCCACACTGTGAAGTTGCCCATTGTGGGACTGTACTGTAGGAGGGACTTCAATTCAATTTTTAATTGTTTAAAAAAAACTCTATTGTAACAAACTCCATTGTATATAAGGGCTGTCAGAATCAACATGTAGATCACCTTCATTAACTTTTGAAGATTAATCTGATTTTAAAAAATCTAAGCAAGTTTTTCCCACATGTTAGATACATATGTTATTATTTACGTAAAATGTGTGAACTTAAAATGCCATCTCATCCAGCAGTGGATTCAACCCAGAGGAGATGGGCCTCACTGAGTGCAGAGCAGTTAATAAGTCTATGCCAGGGGTGCCCAATAAGTAGATCGGGATCTACCAGTAGATCTCAAAGGAGTGCTGGTAGATCCTGAGCAATTACATAGATTTAATTCTATTTTAAGATGCTAATCACTAGGGCTAAAGTAAGGACCATAGAAGTATTGAGTCAGATGGTATTGTACCATACAACTACAGCCATTTATTCAAAGTAGTAAATATATATTTATAGTTTTCAATGTAGGTAGATCACGTTACCCCGGTCATTTGAAAAGTAGATCCCAAGCCGAAAGAGTG